ACAGTTTCAGGGACCTCATGGTTAACTCAGACTATGTAAATTCTAGCTATAGTATAGTTTTTAACGAATTCAGAAATGTTTTTGACGATCTTTGCATAGTCAATGAAACAGTTGCTACTCCAAACCTGCACATCATCACAAAAACACTGAATGATAAAAAATCAAACATGGCCATTGACGAGATTAAAACGACGTACTTGATTATCTTAAATGAATACAGAAACTCCAATTTCTGCATTTTCTTAACTGATGCCTCTGTTGGCCCTGCTACCATTGGGTGTGGGGTATACAATTACTCCAGCAAAAATGAATATTGTTACGATTATCCTTGAACCCTCTTCCGGATTTCCCAAATCCTCCGGTTCGTATCGCTGGATTGTTAAATAAAGGCTAACGATGACCAAATGGTAGTACAATTAACTTTATTGTACAACAAACAATTTTACAATACTTGCTAATACAGTAAAAACACTACAATACTTGGTAAAGCAATTACAACGCTTTACTGAACTTGTTACACACAATTAAACTTATAGCTTGCTTATTCGCAACTCGCTTCTCTGCTCACTTTACTTGTAGCTTGCTGACTTGTAACTAACTCACCTCGCGGTGGCGGCGCCCTTATATACCTGCGCTGGCACTTATGGCAACTCTAGAACATTCTGAAGTTTATCGCTCATTCTCTTTCTCTCGCTGTTCGCAGTGTTCATCCAACCTGACGTTTCTCTTTGTGGAACATTCTACGTCATTCCTCGAACATTCTGCCTATTTCTCGTTGTTCGCTTTGTGTTGCCGCAGTATTCGCCACACTGCCCTCCACCTAAGTCTGATCGTCCCGATCAGACACACTTGCTGCTCAAACCGCTGCAAGTCTTTCCAAGTGGACCACTTTCATCTTGGTCCCCGGTCTCCCCATTGTCTGGATTCGATGCACTGCGTCCTTCAGCCGTTTGTCAATCCTATACGGACCTTTCCAGTTACGATGTTGTTCGGAGGTGAAGCCTTTCCTCGGCTGCGGCATGTGCAACAACACCGAATCACCTTCCTGTAGCTCCTCTCGGCTCGATGCGTTACTGGACATTGCTTCCAGCTTATCTCCGGTGGTGCACCATCTCACATGATCGTGCTTCTGCCGGCCACTGGTGGTGACCAGACCATGTCTCTTCTCGTGGGCACCCTTTTCGCCAGATCTATGCCGCATCATTTGTCCATGACACACAGACTCCCGCCTTCGTGCTGCACTGCCTTTAGCACATCTTGCTACATCCGGATCCTTACGCTGAAGCTTCCGCCGTCGTTTCGTATCTCGCTCTTCCGCCGATGCTAACGTCATTGACCGGACATGTATAATCTCACCCTTGGCTTCCGGCTTAACTGCTCGCCTTTGCCGACCACCTTTTTCCGGACACTTCAAAGCGCGCCTACTGCTCCCACAGCCGCTTCCAATTCCGGCCACCGGCGTATCACCATTGCAACGTGGTTCAGTGGCCTTCCTCCTGCCGGTTGCGACCTCTTCTTCACTGAGCTGTCAGAACGGTCACGCTTTTCCTGTATCGGTGAACCACTTCCTTCTCCTGAGGAAACCATTTCGTCTCCATCACTGCCAACCGCCGCCGAACTAACCGCTTCCATTTCTGGTGGAATCTTCGACACTTCCTCTAAGACTAACCGTCTGCTGCAGTACTGGCTGTCGTAACCAACCCTAAGTGGCACTTTCCTGTCGCCATAGGTTAGGATCATTCCCTGGAGGTCAATTTTCATGCCTTGCCCAAGTAGGAAATCTACGCCGATGATGACTTCATCCACAATGTCTGCGACAATTAACTTCGTGTACGAGGCCAACCCGTCGATTATTACCTCGCATAGTACTTCTCCTAACACTTGGGTTCGCTCACCAGTTGCAGTCTGCAGCTTTGCTCCAGTTAGTGGCTTCATATAAAAAGAAGTCACATCAGGTCGAATAATGGAATGTGACGCTCCAGTATCCACTGTCAGCACTCGCTCCTGCCCATTCACACATCCACCAATAGTGAGGTTGCTCGCATTCCGGCCAATTTGTGAGACGGAGATTATGGGCCCTTCAAATTCTGGAGCCAGCACGCGGCCCTTCCTGCTGGCACGTTTTAGTTTAACGACTGATTTGAGTTGGATTCGTCTCCCTCAGCCCTGCGTTTGCGTCCTGCTGAATGGTTGAGCCCACTGGAACTTGCGCTGCAATCGCGGGAGAAGTGGCCTGGTTTTCCGCAACTAAAGCATTTCCTAGCACCATCCTTTCTCTCGGTTGCACCAGGAGTATTCTTCTCTCCCATCGACTTGAGTGTTTTCAGGATCTCGTTCATCACGTCAGGTGTCTCCGCTTCTACTCGATGGGCTTTGTAGGCTGGTCTACCTAGGAGCGCCGCCGTTTCACGTGTCTGAGCATACGAGACCGTTTCAGCAAATGTTGGCTTTGGATTTGCATACGTCTCGCGCTTGGTATACATGTCTCGCATTCCGTTGATGAACCTCTGGATCTTTACCCTTTCAAGGTGTTCACCAGATGCGTCTCCAATAGCCAAGTGAGCCAGCCTCTCGATCTCCGAAGCGAATTCTTGTAGAGTCTCATTGGCTTTTTGGCAGCGATTTTCCAGCTCCATCTGGTAAATCTGTCTCCTGTGCTCGCTACCATAACGTCTTTCCACTGCACCCATTAACGCATCGTAACTGTTCCTTTCACAGTCGGTAATAGTCTGCAAGATTTCTGCCGCAGGTCCTTTCAATGCAACGAATAGTGCAGCGGATTTATCCTCCATGCTCCAATGATTTGCTGCAGCCGTTTTTTCGAACTGGAGCCTAAAGACCTGGAAAGGAATCGTGCCGTCAAAGGATGGGGTTTTTACCTTGGGTGCGCTCGTCGAAGTAGCTGGACGATTCAACTGTAAATCACGAAGACGACCTTCCAACTCCTCTACCTTTGTCTCGCCTTTGTCCTGTCTCTCTTCGATTTTGTCCTGTGTTTGTGTAATTTTTGCATCCTGTGCTTCCAGCTGGGATGATATACGTGTCTCTTGTGCCAGTAGCTGAGCTTCTAGCCGGGATAACACCTGCGCTGATACCTCTGAAGATATACGTGTCTCCAGCGTTTGCATCTGTTATGGCAGCTGTGATGACATCTGTGACATGGCAGCCAATAACGTTTTCATGTCTATAGCTGTTGATGAACTAAGAGCCTTTTGCTGTTCTTCAACCTTCCCGGATGTCTGCTGCGCATCCTTCGACGAACAAGCTGCTTCATCCTTCTGTTCGTCCTTTGCGGATGCATCGTCGGGTTTACCCTGGAAGTCGTATTTGTCCACGTCGATGCCTTCAGCTTCCATAGCCTCTCGCACCCGGGATAACAATTCCACTTTTCTTCCGGAGGTGGCCAAATTACGCTTTTCCAACTCCTGTTTCAGCTCCTCAATTTTTAAGTCCTGAATTTTCGCCATTTTTGGAAGTTTCTCCTTCGGGATTTATTTAACAATCCCACTTCTGACACCAATTGTTACGATTATCCTTGAACCCTCGTCCGGATTTCCCAAATCCTCCGGTTCGTATCGCTGGATTGTTAAATAAAGGCTAACGATGAGCAAATGA